TTCAGAAGAAGGGGCAACATCGAATGGCTACCGTTCACCTGACCTGCCAACAATGGGTTAATATTTTTGATGTGTAGAACAAGTTTTATGAAAGAAAATCCCACAGAGTGGACGAATTAAATGAGTATATTTAATAAGGATTAAATGAAATTAATGCAGATCGGTATTTGTGTTGGGTTGTGCGTCAGAGTCTTGTGGATATGTTCGAGGAAATTTGCAATGTTGAAGTAGGACATTTTGAGCACTTAAGAGATTGAATTCTGTTCGAAATGCATGTAAAATGTTAACCAAATATACAGTTTGAAAAAATAATTATCAAAAATAAGTATAAATGTAAGAGCACTTACGTTTCCGGTAAACCGACTACTTAACTTCAAACAGACTACGATGACATCACAAATCTGCGCACGCACATTAAGGTTAGAGAAATATGTCTTCCTATTATTTTTTTAACTATCTATATACACGTAGATATAATTTTCTTTCTCTTGTTTTCTGAGATATCTTGTTCTTTGTTAAATCAATGAATAAAATTCCCTCATGTTTTGAAGTTAATTTCTTTTGAAAATTATATTTGCATTGAAAGTTCTCGACCTCATCTGCAAGAAGTCGTAACATCTCCGGCTACAAACTGATGACAAATGACAATCTCGTTCAATACGATCAATTATCCGCACAATTCTACACCATATTAATGAATGATATTCATCATTTTGGATACATCGTTTGTAGATAGAAACTGTGGAAATGCAAATCATCAATGGATGGGGACTGTATTTCCATGTCTCAAGTGGTCTGCGTAACCACCTCAATGTGTCAGTTGATTGCTTGAGGCCTGAAACTAACAGACGCTCTCTATAGATGATTCCTGTGTCAACCTACCCACATTCTTATTCTCCCTCCCTCACATACACACGCACGCACACTCAACGCAAATAATAGACTAGAAATCTATATATTATTGCTCACCGTCTTATTAATGAAACTCAGAATGAGGGACAAAACGAATATTTATTATTATCAATTTTCAACATGTTATTATGCATAAAACCCTGTTATTTTACCACCAGTACGCATAGTGGTATATATATATATATATATATATATATATATATATATATATATATATATATATATATTTCTGAGATGAGGTATTATGTACACTATTTACATTATTCGGACTGTTTTCCTCATCTTTGTCGCCATATTTATTACAACATTTCGGACGTTGTACGCTTCAGACTTCAGATAGTTCGAACGTCGAACTGAACCCTTTATTTTGCTCACTGTTCTAGTTCCACGTGCCATGTTTAATGGATTTCAGTTGTCAGTTATCTCTTAATTCCTCTCTCCATGTTCTCCATAGTAAAAAACATGCAATGTTAACAGCAAAAATTGCAATATGAGCGCTGGTAAAAAGTGGTTGCTGAAGACATTAGTCTATAATACCCAGAATTTCATACACAAGGACACATGGCACAGTGGATAAAGGCGTTGGTTAGATCCAGTGACAGGACCCAAAGAGTGTGAGTTCAATACCTGGTTAAAGTGGTGTAGAACTTGGAGAGGGTAATTAACAGGCGATAACTGATAGCTGGCATCCATTAAACATGGCACGTGGAACTAAAACAGTCCACCCCAGTGAGCGAAATAAAAGGTTATTTCGTCATTCCTACCAACTGAAGAAGTACAACGACCGAGAATTTGTGATAAATATGGCAAAAATTCCAACAAGAGTAAAGTTTTTAATTGAAACAGAGAAAAAGCCACAGACAATTACAATTATTATGTGATTTTTTTTATACGTTACTTTATATATTTTTCTACAGGTGTTTTGGATCTTGCAACCATCGTCAGGCGAAGACTGCTTAGTTAAACATATTAATTTAAAGAGTGACTGTTCCTTCTTATGTTAAACATTTTTGAACAAGTGTTTTTTTTTGTGTGTGTACTAATAGTAGTCATTGACATCCGAAACTGTTTTGGATTTAACGAAAAATATTCTTCTGGTTGAGGGGTAAGCGTTACGGTTAAAAGAAAGTAAAGATCGAAATAACTTTAAAACAAACACGCAATACAAAGGACCACAAAATGCAACAAGAAAAAATATGTGGTTTGTGTTATAATTATAGAAGCAAACTCCTACACTTTTTCAAACCCCACAATATATAACCCCTTTCAGACAGAAGAACATTTTTCGGATAGACTAAAACTGGTTCAGATGTTGGATGACTAATAATACACACAACAGTCAATTGTTCAAAAATGTTTAAATTAGGAAGAAAATATTAATTTCTTTGAACAATATCATTAACTAAAAATTGTCAACTGAGGAGTGTCACAAGATTTGAAACCCGTGTAACGAAATATACAAAATAAAGTATAAAAAATCCACATATTAATCAAAAGGTTTGCGCCTTTTTCTCTCTTTCAAATATATGTTTATAAAGTAAATATATAAACAAAAAGAATTGAGTTTATTAGCACATGTCTACGTAGAAACAAATTCCTGCTCACACACGTTCAGCCAGATTAATATAGTCTAGCCGGACCGTGCGTCCAAATTTACTGATGTTGATATTAATATTTTTGATATTTTTTACTTTTCTTTCTGGCTATCTTTGTTGTACAACAATTGGTAATAATAGACCATAACACATTTAACTTTTTTGTCATTTCATTTTTTCCATTACTCTATCACTGCAATTTTTAGTATATAACTATTATTTTTATTTTTGCTTTGTTGGTTGTCTGTTTCTTTCACCATTAGTCTTCCTATTAGAAATATATATTTTCTCATATTTTGGAATTCATTATTTTTATACAATTATTAATTTATTTACCTGATTTATACATTTATTTATTTAGTTATTTGAATAATTATAAATACATGTATATGATATACTATTCATTTTATTTCATCTTATTTTATCTTACTTTAGCACATCATATTTTATTATTACTAATTTTACTACTCTTATTTTGCTTTTTTTCTTTTTTTTTTTTTAGGAATATTAATATTAATAATATTATTCATTACTCCAATGATTCCGGGAAAAATAGTGTTACTTCACTTGATTTTATAATACCATTTTTAGTTGTTGAACCAGCATCTCTCTAAATTAGAATTCATATTTTCTATTTACAAATTTATTTTCCATCTTAAATGTTTGGAAAAAAATACCTCCTTTGTTTTCCTTATTCTAGTTTTTGTTTACGTTTTCAAAACCAGTGCCTCTCTAAATTATAATTTATCTTTCTTAATTCGAAACATATGTTCAATCTTAAATGTTAATCTGGACTTAACGTCAAATTCAAATTTAAACTACAATTCAATTATATATTTTAACTACAATAATTTAAAACATATATTTTTTATCAGCGTGGTTTATTATGAACAAGCATTGGCCACGAAAATCAAATGAAATGAGTCTTCTCTCTCTCTCTGCACACACATATATATATATATATATATATATATATATATATATATACACGTTTCATTAAATAATATAGACAAGTGTTGTCTATTTATTTTATGTAAAATTTTTCGTATCTTCTGATAAGTTTGGTAACATTATCATTTACCGAAAAAAGAAATTCACAATATTTATCCATTATTTTTAATAAAATCTAAGCTTTCGGCTTACTCAAGCCATTATCAAAGATGTAAATACAAACATATCAAACAATATATGGACACGACAGTGATGATATAGTCTGTCATTGTTATGTTTACATAGTGGATCACTAAGCAACGATGAACACGCGCATATAAGACGCTAGAAGCGAAAATCGCACCGCATCTCATGACGTCACACATGACTACACGAGAGTGAATTGGAGAATGAAATAAGGAAAGCCGTTGGTATAACCAATGGCTTCTGTTACCAATTATTATATATATATATTGCATGTTTCATTAAATAATATATACAAGTTTTGTCTATTTATTTTAAGTAAGTTCCATTCATATTGTCTGCTAAGCTTAATAACATTATCATTGAAAGATGAAAGGAAATCACCATATTGATACATGTTTAAATCCAATCTAAGCTTTCGGCTTACATAAGCCATTATCAAAGATGGCAATTACTTTTCAATATATCAACCAATACACCAATAATTTCAATGATAATGTTATTAAGCTTCTCAGACAATATGAAAGGAACTTACTTAAAATAAATAGACAAAACTTGTCTATATTATTTAACGAAACATGCTTTAATGAAAAATTACTACCTAAATATACACAATTTAATATATATTTATATATATATATATATATATATATATTTATATATATATATATATATATATAGAGAGAGAGAGAGAGAGATTGAGAGAGAGAGTACTTTCTCGCACATATCATTTGAGTCTTGTTCATATACAGCGTGTTGCAGCAAAATCTGACACTTAAAAAAAAAAAACGAAATAGCCAATAAAAAAACAAAAGTTTTATATGCAGAGACCCGACAGTTTATTTAGCAACAGTTAGAGTTACATACTGCATTATTTTACAATGTAACCGCCGGCGGCGGCGACGACTAACTCAAGGCGCGAATGAGTCACAACCTTTGGCAACCATGTCCTTGTCTATAGCGGCGAACGCCTCCACGATGGTAGCCTTCAGAGAGTCGACCGTGTTGCGGGCGTGATTGTTGGTCTTGGCCTCGATGACGCCCCAGAAGAAATCGTCAAGTGGGTTGTAGTCGGGTGAGGAGGGCGGCCACACGTCCGGCGACCAGTGGTGAGAAACATTGTTGAGCAACCACGACTGGGTTGCCTTGGCCTTGTGTGCAGGAGAGGAGTCCTGGTGAAAGACGTAGAGGCGTCCGGCGGCGATCTCGTTCATCCAGGGCTTCACCTCGTTCCTCAGTACCTCCTGGTAAATCTCAACTGTGACTCTCAGGTTGTTTTGAAAGAAGAACGGAGGCATGACGTCCCCCTCACCGACGGAGGAGGGAAACTTCGCGTGCTTCACGACGGGAACGACCTTGATGTCTTTGCAGATCCACCAATCGTTCTTCCTGTTGTTCGTCTTGTCCTGGATGAAATTCTTTTCATCAAAGAAGAATCTCAGCATCACAGGGGATCCGTGCTTGTGCTCGTTCAGCAAACCACCGCCTTGACCTTCCTCGACTCCTTGGAGGCATTCGTGATGAGCATGCGGTGAGACTTGCGGTAGGAGGAGTAACTAATAACTTTCTTGATCGTTCCATCATTGTCGATTGTCTCTTTGACGGCGTCGATGAACTCGTTGGGCCAATGAATGATGTGGGCCTTTCGTTTAGCAGTATAATTCTCCTTGTTCTCATAGGCCTTCCGTTTCCACCAAATGACCACGGTCCTCTTGATCCCAAACAAGGCAATCACTTCCGCAGGCTTCTTCCCGGCGCGAAAAGAAGCTACTATAGCTGCTCTTCACTCATATTTAATCCTGGGAAAGGGTAGAGAGAAAAACGTTAGTTATCAAACTGTTGGGTATTTAAAATATGCACCTTTTGTTTTTATTGCCTAGTTCGTTTTCTTTTTTTCAAGTGTCGGATTTTGCTGCAACATCCTATATATATATATATATATATATATATATATATATATATATATATATATATATATATATATATATTACAGTAAGGTTCACACTGGACAGACTCGGTAGCCACTCGTTTTAGAGGGTTACGATAAGTGGTAGTTTATATGGATGGAAAGGGAATATAACAGTTGATTCTGGACTTGAACATGTAAAGATTGAAATAATCGGGAAAACATCGTCTTGGGAGTCTGTTCCACAGGTGTTATGGGACCTTACTCATAATAACATAATGGACTATTCCATAAGTAATAAATACTGCACCTCAAAAGGAAGGAGAGAGTTCCGTCTGAAGTCTAGAGTTCAGTCCGAAGTCTGGAGTGAAGTCCGTCAGAAGTCTGTCAGTCAGTCAGAGCGAGCGAGTCAGTCAGTCGAGTCAGAGGCAGTCCGAAACAGAGTCGCGTTCAGACAATTACTACTAAACCTGATTGTTCGTACTAACACTTTCTACTTCTCTGTATATATTCCTGTTTGTAATATATCTGTGTTATTCCATATCCGTATTCGTTTTCTTCTTTATTGGTTCTACCTTGGAATATCACCCGGGGTACCGGAACCGGACCATAACAACAGGGCAGTGGTTCGCGGAAATATGCTGTATAATTGGAACTGCCTTCGCGCCGACGTAATAAGAAGTGAATGTAAGGACTGGCCAGTACTCCATTTTCGGCCTGATCTTGCTCTTATAAATATAGAGGATAGAATAGGTGAGCCGAACATTGTACCTGGATTTTTAGCGATGGATCATATTTAGGAATTCCACTTAAGGCCGAGTGTGAGTTTGATGCCTCCTCGAGAAGACATCCATTCATCGTGACTGGTGGTAGTATGGGGTCTGCTCGGCAGTGATGGAATGCAACCAGTTTGGTTTTACAGGCATTGAAAGTAAACAGCCAGTTTCTTTCTCCACTCTGAAGTTAGTCTGAAATCGGAAGAGAAGCCATCTGCATATGTCTGATCGTAAAGACGTTTAGGAGTGCGCCCGTATATTAGCATAGACATTTACAAATGATCAATATATATTTTTAGGTAGATCATTTGATCATTGATCGGAGAAGTGAGCTCTGAGGGTCGCCTGCGTTGTCCGCCAGGACCTCTGAGGACTGGCCGTTAATAACTACCTTCAGGGATCTACCTGTTATGAAGGATTTTGTCACAGTGAGATATCGTTTAGGATATAGATCTCTTCAAATCAAATCTCCATCGAAACGACCTAATGGAAGTAGCATTCGCTTAATAGTATGTGTATTTATTTAAAAAAAAAAGAAGAAAGATTACATAGACACAGGTGGGTAGTGTCCATAAAGGGACATATCAACAGCGATTCTCTTGGAGATTTACATACGAATAAATAGGATTCTTGTGACAATTTATAAATAGAAGAAATTACTCTGGAATCCAAACTCTCCCAATTTGAATTAATCTGAGAAATAAATCCAAACCACTGACAGGTGGATTGCATCTTCCTGACAAATTCCATTCCAAATATCAAAAGAAAAAAAAACACAGAGAGAAAGAAAATTCCTTTCGACATTTAATTTAAATGCAGTCATCTTTTCACAAATATTCGGCAATTGCTCTTCTGTGTTGGTATCCGATTTTCGTCATTTTAAAGCAATATTACAACCAGGATGCAGCAGGAAACGATTATATAATAGTGATTTTCCAAGTGTAGCTTAGATGTGTCACAGGGCCTAAATTATGGGGCCCCAGGGAGAATCGAACTTACTACTCAGTCGTATTTGTTTGCTAACCATTACACCGCCACAAGGTGCTCAAAATGATTATTTTCTCAGCGTAACTGTAGATGTGGCACAAGGCCGAAAAAATGGAGCATCTAGGGAGGATAAAAGTCACTTTTCAGTCGTAACTGATCTAGCGAGGCAAGCTCGCTAACCATTACACTACGTCGAGGTACCCAAACGATTATATAATAAATATAACAGAGAGGCAATTGTTTTTCTTGTTCTAAAAAAAGTTTATATTTATTGTAAAGATAACTAATATTACACGCTTTGATATAATTCATTCTACGTCCGTCCCTTATAAAATGTCTAAAAAGGCCGACTATATCTTTAATATTCATAGAAAGGTCACTGCAAGAATAATATAATGAAATTAACATAACTCATTGGTCTTTTATAAAACTTTAGGAGGAACATGTGCGAGAAGGTATAGTCTCTGGTCCAAGATTGAATTCCTCTCAGTCAGAAATATTATTAGAAAATGCGTAGACTAAACAAAACTGACAAAATGATATTTGAAGTGAACCTTGACCAAACTCTACTGTGCTGGTTTGAAATTTGACGATATTATCAGAGTTTGGGTGGAATGAAGTGAAAATATTGGACAAGAAATAACAATGGATAGTTAGACGTTTGAAAGAATCAGCGGATATGGAAGACTTTGAGGACTTCCTTAGCAGGAACAGATATAAATACAACATGGAAGCTGCTAACAAAGAAAGAAAGACAAATAACGGCTAGTCTTCAACAGCAGAAGTAGAAGTAGCAGTCCAAAGATGACAACAGCGACAGCAGCATTCAGGCAGGCAATCACAGCACTAATACGCAATCGAGTTCATGTTCGCCATTGACAGTTGTCAATCCATGGGCCGAGCAGTGTGTACTTGGACTCTGTGGAAATAATATTATTCTAATTTAATTTTATGATAATTCTTATTTGTAAATATTTTTAGGTATATATGATTGTATTTGGCATCTTTATAGGGTCACACTCGACAAATGTTAGTGTCAAATTGTTTGTATGTTTTTGCTGAGTAGATTTTCGCAAGTGAAATCGACCTATGAAACGACAATTTTTTGAAGAATTTTTTGTAGCTAGGGCTAATGCGCACCCCTAATTTTACATATTATATTTTAGAAATACATGCGTATTATACATGGGCAATTACGGTATGTTTGAGATCGTTGCATTCTCTTTCGTACAAATATTTATTTGATAGAATATTACCATTAACCATTGGGGGAAAAAAAGCAGGTAAGACTTTGCTTTCTAATTATTCTGACAACTAGTATAGGAGGAGGAAAGATTGAATAAAAAAAAGCTTGTGTAATCTTGGATTGTAACATACTTGAACTATTGTTCAATAATAGTTTAGCAAACTATTCTTTTTTTAGAGGAAGTGTATCTATGCTTCAACATCCTGAAGTTGACCATGGAACCAGATACATGACATAATAAGGAAGTCCATTTTGATTAACGTAGTTAGCGTGGGAATGATAGACACAGAAACATTTTACTATGTGTCGAGTCTTAACCGTCAAGCAATGCAGGCATGTTCGCTTTTGTGTCTGAAACGGCTCCCCAGTGAGGATGAACGACCCACACTGGAGAGTTGTTCATGTCGATGATAATAAAACTAGATAAGTAAAATTATCTGTTGATTCATTCATCACTAATTAAACTAGCAATCACCGGACGAGAGAGAGAGAGAGAGAGAGAGACGTTGACATTTCAGCATGAGGGTCCTATACAACTCTATAAGTAAGATCCACTCAGCATTGTTATAGTGTAAATAACAGGTTAAGCATTCGGCCACATTACACTGAAACATCGGTTCTCATATCATCAACGAAGTTAAGCAACGGCAAGTCTGGTTAGTACCTAGATAGGTGACCGCTAGAGAATAACAGGTGATGCAAGTTTTGATGTGGGGTGGAGTAATAAATAATGGCATTGTTAATCGGAATTCAGTATCGGAGAGCCGAGTTCCAATTTCTGTAGGTTTCGTTATATTCACTCACACGCAAATAGACCTTGGAAAGGCATGAAAGTTTCCCTTTTCCCCTAACTGTGGATTAATTAGTGAAACCTTTATCACTAAACTTTTATTATCTAAAATAAATACAATCTAAAAGTATTTCCTGGCTTTAAATGATCAATAAAGTGTTGATGAGCCCTAGAAAAAGAATCAATCAATTAAAAAAAACTGATTTGCTCTCGGAGTGTTAAAGAAACACGAATGGACGGAAGAAGAAGAAAATGCAAGGAAGCAAACAGCTTTGCAAAAGATGAGGAATCACATTGATTTAAATTCGAAAATATCTGATGATGTTGGAGATCTAATAATATCTCTTAAAAATTCTATGAATATTATCGATGAAATCGAATCCCAAATAGGATAGGCGTGTCTGAAGAGATTTCTTGCACATAGGACAAGCCAAATAATTCGGATATTTTTTTTGACAGTGGCATCAATAAGTTCATAAGACAAGGTACGCCATGTTTCCTTCTTCACCCTCTACATGTCATCTATATTTAGATACCGCTGTAAAAGGAAATAAAACATTCTCGTTTGACGTCAATATTTTGATCTCGGTGAAGATGCTATATATCACCTTATTCCCCCCTGAACATTTAGGCACGAGTACTTTTATTGGAATAAAACAACGCTAAGAAAGAAACATTATACATTATACGTTTTTAAATGAATCCGTGTATTGTTCCGTTTTATTTGTTTTGTTTTTTGTTTTTCATATAACAATTACGTTGGCTTAGAGCCACTCATGCAAAATAAATGTATACACATCCTAATTTATCTTGTCTATTTCTTTTCCCATTATCATTTTATTAACCATTTCCTTTTTTTCTCCGTCCTGGGTATAACGATAAACTACATCCCCGTCCAGGGTAAGACGATAAACTACGTCCAACAGCAAGGCCTCTGATGAGGAGGTTTTGAAGTGCGTGGGACCACCTCTTAATTGCTGGTGTTTACATGTCCACCCTGACCCGGGGTCGTAGCACCTGTTAGGGGTCCCAGCTATAGGCAAATCGTTAGCCCTGAAACTGAGGTAAAAGGCATTATAAAAGCGTAAAAATAGGTTTTAATACCAGAAATACTTTATAAAAATAGTTACCAGAAATAAATTTAAAAAAAAAAACTATTACCAGCAATGTATTTTTGAAAAAGAAAAAATTACAGAGCAATACATGTTTTAAAATAATATTACTAGCAATACATGTTTTAAAATAATATTACCAGCTATACATTTTTGACGAAAAAAAATATTACCAGAAATAGATTTTTGACAAAACAAAATATTACCGGGAAAAAAAGTTGTCGGCATTAAATAACCCATTGAGGTTGATATACTGTAAAACACAACAAACCAAACAAAACCAGTTTCTTTTTTTTTTCTTAAGTTAGTGTGATTGCTCTCTCTATTTTCTACGTAGGTATTCATGTTTTTCTTCTCTTGAATTCTAGCTTGATTTGTTAGGATTAAACTCTATCGCTTTCCCTTCTTGTTCTTTTTTGTACGACCACCGAAGTTAAGCAACGTTGAGACTGTTCAGTATCTAGATGGGTGACCGGTGGGAATACTAGTGGCTGTAAGCGTGGATGCGTAAACTGCGTGATGGTTAACAGATGTGAATGATAAAACGGAGAGCCGAGTTCGAATTGTTATTGAGTTATTTACTTACGCGTACACACCCTTGCGAAACTAATGCATTCATTTCTTTTTCATTCAAGCTATTGGTTAAATTTTAGGAAGTGTATCCAAAAATTCTTATCTCTAAAGAATTCTTACAATCCCATGAAAAGATTCCTGCTAGATATCACATGCAAAAAGTGGATAAGCCGTAAAAAAACAAAAAGCAACAACAACAAATCAATCAATTTCTTCGTAGTCTTTCCTCATTAATTTTAAAATGTCTTATTTTTTTGTATGCAGAACGTTTTATTTACACGGAAATCAATGTTTTCCTTCGCTGTTTTTTTCATTCATTCTATCTTTCTATCGTAAATGAAATTTCGTTTACTCTTTTTCTCATTTTTATTAGTGTTCATTTCTTGTTCCTTATTTCCTTTCAGTTTAAGTATCTTTTTATTTCTTTTACAGCCTGTCTCATTCTTTTATGCATCTTTCTCTCTTTCTCTCTTTCTTTCCTTCTTTCTTTCTTTCTTTTTTCTTTCTTTCTTTCCCTCTTTCTTTCTTTCTTTCCCTCTTTCTTTCTTTCTTTCTTTCTTTCTTTCACACTTTCTTTCTTTCTTTCTTTCTTTCTTTCTTTCTTTCTTTCTTTCCTTCCCTCTTTCTTTCTCTCCCTCTTTCTTTCTTTCCCTCTTTCTTTCTTTCTTTCTTTCTTTCTTTTTTCTTTCTTTCTTTCTTTCCCTCTTTCTTTCCTTCTTTCTTTCTTTCTTTCTTTCTTTCCCTCTTTCTTTCTTTCTTTCTTTCTTTCCCTCTTTCTTTCTTTCCCTCTTTCTTTCTTTTCTTTCTTTCTTTCTTTCTTTCTTTTCTTTCTTTTCTTTCTTTCTTTCTTTCTTTCTTTCTTTCTTTCTTTCTTTCTTTTTCTTTCTTTCTTTCCCTCTTTCTTTCTTTCTTTCCCTCTTTCTTTCTTTCCCTCTTTCTTTCTTTCTTTCTTTCTTTCTTTCTTTCTTTCTTTCTTAAAATTGAATGTTTTCTCTTTTACATGTGTTCGTTTCTTCTTCTTTCTTTCCTTCTATTTTTCTTACATTTTAGTCGATTATCCTTCTTTTCTGCCTTTGCATTATTCTTTTCCTTTCTTCCTTTCATTTTCCTTCTTTTCGGTTTTTTGTCTTCTGTCACCAGTCCAATTCTCTCTTTTTTCATGTATTTCTCTTTTCATTTTCTTTCTTTCTTTCTTTCTTTCTAAAGTTTTTTTCTCGTTTTTCACTTCCAAACAAATACCTTTCCTTTAAATTTTTCAAACGTTTTTTTTTTCGAGAATTTAACTTTCGTAGGTTCAAATGTATCGTTACCTATTTATATATCCATCTAATCTCACTGGCAGAAGATGCCCGAAACTATACGCACGGGAATGTCTTACACACTGAACCAATCACCCGTTACCTTGTAAGCAAACACGGGAATATTACGTCTTGTCAGTGCTCCAATATATATATATATATATATATATATATATATATATATATATATATATATATATATATATATAATAGTTGTAATCTTATAAATATAAGAAATTACACTCGTCCTGAAAATCTTATGTGCCTTTATTTGTGAATAAACAAACCAATACCAAAGGGGGAAAAATGGTACAAAAAAGAAAGAACAGAAAACATGTACGTTAACCGAAAATAATCGTCTAGCATCGAAGTTCAGAGTCAAAGAAAAAAACCCTGATACAAGTAAGAAAATTAACTAAACAAATAAAGTGCTCGATACGATAAAGCAAACCTAAAGCGAAACCTAAAGACCCAGACAACCTACCACGGTTTCACCTAAGCGGATCGTCAGGGACTATTGGCTGTTGTTCCTGGCCATCCGCTTAGGTGAAACTGTGCTAGGTTGTCTGGATCTTTAGGTTTAACTTATATATATATATATATATATATATATATATATATATATATATATATATATATATATATATATATATATATATATATATATAGTAGTAGTGGGATAGTAGTCGTGGCTTGTGAAGTGGTCCTCCTATGAGTCAGGAGAAACTCTGATGAGTTCTACCACGGAATATGTGATCAAGCGGCGCTATATCGCTTCGTCACCGAGCCCCATTTGTACAGTTGGTATGACGTTTGCCTGATAACGTAACTGTCCGGGTTTCAATTCTCAGTAGTGGATGTGCACTGCTGATGAGTCGCGGATGTAGGACGTGACAGCCGTCTAGTGCTTCCTGCCTTATGTTGAGGTTTCTTCTAAACCCGATGTTTCACTTAATCCTAATTATCTCAATTCCTCCTAAAGATTTCTTTCACTTATATACAGGGTGTCCATAAAGTTAATGTGCACTTTAAAAAAGTATAAATTTAAAGTGCACACGAACTTTATGGACACCCTATATATTTTTTTTTCTGTGATGAGGTATTGTAACTATTTATATCGTTCGACCTACAAGGTATGTTTAACATTAATTGTTGGACATCTGAATTCACGATATACAGTCCAAAGTTTCATTTTTGTATTCTGTATTCAGTAGTTTAGAGCGTCTCATTCCTTATCCAGTCATGTTTCATACGGATTTGTCTAAAATATTCACTTAATACAAGTCCAAGAAGCCAATCACGATAGAATGTTATTCAATGATGTTGTTGAACGGCTGTAAATTCCTTCGTTGAAAAGATAATGGCTGACCGTAGAGTTAAAGAGATTAAGATTATAATGATGGGGAAGCATCCACTTGGGAGTCTGTTCTTAAAATTAACAGCTAATGGGTAAGTATTTCCCCCCAATCGAATACGAAGGGAATGAGGATTAGCCGACCTTGTGTACTTGGCATAGTCGATTCTAGTTCTAAATATCGAAATTGGTGAAATTAAAGAATGTATCTCGTCTGAACATTTGCCAAGGAGATTCTTGTCACGTTTCGCTCGTGTGAAGGGGGCTGAGGCATTATAAACACTTTAAAATACTGTCAAAGTTGTAAAGTTGTTATATAGAAATAAGTGTCTCTGACGACACTTGTGTTTGAACATAGATGGTCAGTGAGCAAACACAGGCGATACCATTGTTGAATTAAATAGACCACGTGACCATTGAGGTAACGCATATATGTAAGAAGTAACTGACGACTAACGATCGTCATTTCTAGTCTATCATCTATTACTAGACGGACCGCTATTTCTCCTTTATCCCCTATTAATATATTGACCTCTATTCTCTATTCCCTTCTCTACATTATTCTCTATTCGGATCAATACGGTGGTTACTATTCGAGCGAGTATTATCGATGCAAATAATAATAGTGGGAGATTATTCGAAGGTGTCTGATACCAGTATTGTTTGACGGCGTACTGTAGTTGTATCTGCGATTACAAAGTCTCTACTGCAACGGGCATTACGAAAGTGACAACAAATCTTCGTTGAAATCACAAAAAATATATATGACAGCAATATTCCATTTTTTGATAAAAAACAACCCTACACGCAAGCCACCAATCTGCCACTGGTTGGCATGCCACTAGTGTTTACCGCTGGTAGCCCGCTATCGGATCGTCGGCGTGTTCGTCTCGGCGATGTTACCACTAGAGGCCAATCGGTGGCTGTTACCAGAGGACCGCTGGAGTCTATTAACGTCTTGCGTCTAGGGAAATATAGAAGGTGTGGCAATAGTAACACCATTTTTGATTTATAACCTTTCATTCAGCAAAAATAACTTGTAATAGTTCCTGAAAATTTATAAATATTGTCACAGCAAAACAAAATGTTCTGTTAGGATTACGAAACTATTTAATATGGTGAATGAGTACAATGTCATGTTCAATACAACGTTGAACCCTGTCATCATCACTTCTATTGATCACGTGACACATTTGTACGTTAATTTCAGATAATTTATCAGAAATTGCTTGATTTAATTCAGGAATTATTTTCGGTTTTGGAAGGTAAACAATATTTTTCATGGCAGCTGACAAGACAAAAAAGTCTGTTGTTGGT